GATCCACGAAGGTGTTGCCCCTCGCAGAATGCTGCTTAAGGTGCCGAAGAGGTAATCCACAGATTGGGTCGACGAGACGCCATCTGAACGGGTAAGATCGTAGACATCGTCCAACTGGGCCAAACCTATTCGACTCTGGGACTCCTCGTCCACCCCTTGGAGATAGTCACGCATGCGGGCTTCCCAACGCGGATAATCACATGAAAGCGTCTAACGCGAGATCGGCCGGCTGGAGGACTGAAAGTTGACCTTGGACAGTTGTGCCAATAATTTTTCTAGGATGTTGTTGGACATGGTGACTACCGTTCCTACCAATTTTCAATGATCGAACGACGTCAGAGGGGCGAACGAGGTTCCGAAATAGGCCAACGAACGAATAATGCGGCAGTAAGTCCCAAAAGGAACAGTCACTGGCGTGAGAAGGTCTCATAGTGTTCCTAAGTACAAAAGTAATCTAAAGGGGGAAGAATATAATACAAAAATAAACTATGGGGATGATTGGCCTTGAAGAGGTAAGCAGGCTAATCCTTCAATTGGCAGGGACGGCTGGATTGACGGTGGTAGCGCGTCAGAAGCAGGGTTGCCAGTGCTCAGTTGCCCTCGTTATTCATGTCTGCCGGTCAAGGTCGTCCAGGAGGTGGCCGTTGAAGTGGAAGTAAAACAAAAAGTAGTGTTCGATTATCTTAATGTCTACTATTTATTTATTATGATTAAGTTAAATATAAACGTGAGAATAGTTATTGTCTTTCATTGCCGGTTCTATAAATATGGGGAAGATTCGTGCGCCTCTCCAGAACGTTCGACGCGTTACTCACGTGCTTCTACAACGTCGAGTCAGTACGGAAAAATGTTTTTCCTTGCCTGCGGAATGTGCTTAGTGTGAACGTGCAGCCAACCAGGTGGACAGGCGCTCACCAATTGGCTGGACTTTGAGCAGGGCTTGTTGCGGCCAGACGGGGGAAGCGTACGGTTTCTCTCAGCGGTTGCAAAGTGCACGGTGAACAAAGCTAGACAGCGTGAGTCAGCAGCGGCAGGCTTCCACAAAGTTGTTCAACCACGCGTCACGTGAGAGTGGGTTGTATTTCGGAAATGTACAAACAAACGCATAGTGGAT